CCTTTGAGGAAGCCTCTAAATTGGGTAATAGAGCAATTAAATGACTATTGATAAACTGTCCTTAGTCCTTGATTAAAAAGAGGCAACATTTATCAAAAGAAGGTAGTTGAATCTCTCTTATTTACATTTGTTCTTTAATTTTGATTAAATATTTTTCTGATCAGGAGAATTGAAGCCAAGCATTCTCAAGTACCATGTTGCAACCTAAAGTTGGTAATTGCGGAAGCACATGACTGATATGGTAACCCCTTATTCAGAAGAACTTGGGATATTTCTGTCAGCACAGAAAATGGGTATACCACAATGACTGCTGCTGATACTATGTCTCCTCCTCCTTGCTCACTCTTTTTTTTTTTTTTTAATTAAGAGTTCATAGAGTTTTCTTTTAATTCTTTTGGCATTTACATAAAATTTTATATTTTGAGAAAGTAATCTGGGCAGGTATAAAAAATAGCCCCTTCCTTTCCTGTTTCAAAACTTATTTGCAACCATCCCAGGAGTTTCCTTCATTGTCATCTATTCTCCTATTCTCTCTCTGGTATTCTATCTTCTGTTTCCTATATCTTCTTTCTTGGTTTACTCACTGCTTTTGGTGGAGCACATCCTCTAATATCTTTTGCAAATGGCGTGTGGCGGTAAATTATTTCTGGTTACACTTGATTGATAGTTTGTCTGAATATATTACAGAATTCCAGCTTGGAAATAATTTTCCTTCAGAATTGTGAAAGCATTGTTCAGTTTCCTTCTACCTTCCAGTGTTTTTACATTTTCATGATGATGTACTATTGTGTGGATCTTTTTTCATCCACTGTGTTGGGCACTTGGTTAGCCCTTCCAATCTGGAAACTCATGTATTTTAGTTCTAAGAAAATTTTTGTTGATTATATCCTTCCCTCCATTTTCTTTGGAGCTCCTTTATTTGGAGTTTGACTTTCAGGACTGAGCCTCAGATTTTCTTATCTTTCTTCTGTTTTTCATCACATTGTCTTTTTGCTTTACTTTTGAGACATTTTTCAACTTTAAATTCTTTTCTATTGTTTCTTATTTCTGCTATTATATTTTTAATTTCTGAAACCATTCTCTGAATGTTTTTGTGTTAATATTCTCTCTTAGTTTCATGAATATAGTATTATCTCCTCTCAGCTGTAAAGATATTAATGTTATGACTTTTTACAAAAGTTTCTAAAATGCCCTCCCCTTGCCCCCCCTCGCCCCTCATATGACTTTCATGTTGCTTTTTATCTGTATATTTTGGTTTCTGTCTTTTATGTTAGTTACCTCAGATGTGTGGTAATCAGTCATTGTTTGTCTTCTTATATTTAGAACAGGAAACCAAAAAGCTGAGCGAAAGCTCCGAGTGCATGGGAGACACTTAAGTGACTTTTAGATTCCCATTAAAAAGATCTGGTGGGCTGAGTGTTGGAGAACCCTCTCATGTCAGTACCATTAGATCTTTACTCTTCAGCTTATCAGAGTTGCCTGTCATCTGTGAGTAAGACTATCACTGTATCTGTGGTTCAAAACTCTGGGGGGTGGGGTGTTTCAGCATTCAGTGTTCAGTTTACACATTTTTATTTAACCCCTGAACACCGCTTCCCCATTTGTGGAACTGTAGCACTGCTCTCCACTGTGTCTGTTGACTCCTGGCCCAGAGACCCTCTGTTTTATCACCTCCAGAGAATAAACCACTTTTTTGGGTCAGGTTGGGGGCTAGGTTGCCAGAAGTCGAAATGGAGATCTGGGACCTAACTGCGTCTTACATAGACTTTAAACCAGTTGACCTAATTTTAGGTCCTCCTTCATCTCTATTTCTAGATGTCTCAGATATCCTCATTTCCTGATCCTGTTGGGGGTCCAGTGATATAAAATGCGATATAAAATGGGCTGGTTTTTAGCTTCCCATTGTCCCTCTTGGATTCACTTTCCTCCATTCTATTAAATCAGTTACTGCTTGTCTCCCTGCTTTCTAGCTTGTGAAATTCTGTTGGTTTTCTCCTTTTCTATTCTCCTCATCTTCGTAAGTTTATGCCTTAAAAAAATGAAAATTAATTTATTGTCATTTTAGTATGGTTTCAGGAAGGAATGAAAGCATATGTCTGTGTTCCATTTGCCATCTTTATCTGGAAATTCCTCTGAAGAACACCTCCTTTTTTTATTTTAATGATTTAATTTTTAAGGTTTAAACTTCATCCCTCTCTATATTCCCCCTAAAATGGCTAGCTGGTTATTCCAAACCATGTTTTTTGGAAGTTCAGATTCATATGGAACTAATCATGTGAGATTATCAGTAGTGACATTTCTAAATGCATCTATGCTACCAGCATGGTGTTCCATTCTGTTTGCTGCAGGTCTGATAGGTGGATAATGTTATTAATCTATTGAATGAACATGTATTAGATGGCTGCTCTGTGGACAACATTGCATGTACCAAGCTCTACTCAAATAGTGGACTACTAAATATGAATAGTGTAGGCTGGAATCCCAAAAAGACATGTTAGGAAAGGATTCAAATAGCCTTCTATAGCTTTGGATTGCTGTGATATCATAGCTATAGATAGTTCAGTTGAACTGTAAAGCAAACAAATTGAGATGCTCTTTTTGAACAAAAGTGTCAAAAACAACATCAATCTGAGGATTAATTGGTAGGATCCATAGATGTTCTTGTCCTGTAGGTGGTTGGAGATAAGATTCTAGAGCTTTGGACAAGTGACTGGACTGAAATTAAAGATTTAGGGATCACAGGTAAAAGCTAAAGTTATAGAGGTGAATGGAATGGTCCATGCAAAGTGAGGTGGAAGGGGGCATTTAAGGGTGTTTGGAGGATTGAAGGAGTGCTTCAGATTTCTAGGCAGATTGAAGGAGTGCTTCAGATTTCACTCTTGCCTAAAGTTCAAGTAAAATGAAGTTAAGCGTGGAGAATTTCATGGGAACATTATTTCTACTAAAAGATTTAGGAAACAAACATTTTAATATTAAAAACACTGTTCCCCATCTCTTAGAGAATATTCACCCCAGTTATAGAAGCATTGACATATGTAGAGGGAGCTGCTGGTCAATCTTAGCCTGAGTGATGGTGATCATTGTAGATAGCAGACTGAATAGGCCAGGGCTGGGAGAATTATGGCTTGGAGTGGAACCTGGGAAGATTAAAATATGAGTATAGGAATACGGGGTTCTTTTACTAGGGAATAGATATTTGGTGGTGTGAATTAAGAAAGTGGATTGAGGGCTGGCCAAGTGACATGTTGGTTAAGAGCTGGCTTGGGACGCCAGCTCTGAGCAGCAGGGCCCCGGTTCAGAGCCCACATGAGGGCCAGTGATGGTGCGCCCTCTACAGCTAAGATGGTGAACAACAGCTTGACCTGGAGCTGGGGTGCCTTGAGTCGCCAGCGAGGGCTTAGGCTGCAGTGAAACTACATTGGGCTGCCATAAGCTACCGTGAGTGGCTGGCAGCCAGCGTGAGCGGCCGGCAGCTGGCATGAGCTACCAAGAGCCGCCGTGAGCGGCTGGCGACCAATCTGCTTCACCCGGGAAGAGTGCACTGGTAAGACCAACATGGGCCAGTAAAGCAACATCTTCCACAACTAGACTGAAGAACAGAGTACAGCAACTTGTCTGTTCTTCTTCCCCCGATTCCCCAGCGCTGTTTCCCTCCCCAATTCCCCAGTAAAATCTTAAAAAAAAAAAGTGGATTGATTGATGTGTTGAGGCCCCTCATGACTACTCCCAGGTTTGATGATTCACCAGGAAGACACAGAATTCAGCATATAGTTGTACTCGTGGTTATGCTTTGTTACAGGGAAAGGATACAAAGCAAAATCAGAAAAGGAAAGGTTCATGGAATGAAGTTCAGGCTCACGCTTCTAAGAGTCCTTTCTCTGTGGAGTTACATAGGACACACTTAATTCTTCCAGCAGAACTGTGACAACATGTGTGAAATGTCATCCATCAGGGAAGCTCGTTAGAGATTCAATGCCCAAGGTTTTTATTGGGGGCTGGTTATGTAGTCATCCCCTGCTTAGCAGGTACCAAAATTCCAGACCCTCAGAAGGAAAGCAGATGTTCAACATAAATCACATTGTTTGTACAAACAGTTTAGGCACAGTAAGTCCCTCTTAGCAGTTAGGGAGGTGGAACTCTCCCAGTATCCAGCTTCCCAGACTCTCTAACCAAGGGCCAGCCTTACAAGCTGGCCTTTCTAAGGAGAGCAGTGTCAGGCTTGCCACGTTAACTCTTTTCTGCACAATCATTTTAGGAGGTAAGAAGCTATGTTTGAGGGCCAAAGCTAAGTTTAATCTTGGTAAATTTCTGAGGTGTCCGATGACAGGGTTAAAGCCTTACTCAGATGTAAACTGGTGGTGTGATAAGAGTAGACACAAAACTAAGCCTAAGTAGAACATTATAAATTTAGGGTGAGAAATAGAGTCCATGGAATAGTGGAACTCATGATAAGAAAGCTAGTTAGGGAAGAGAGAGTGGAGGGTTTAGTTATGGATTGAATTTTGTGTAACAATCGCCCACCTGCCCTCCAGATTCATATGTTAATGCTCAGTGTGACTGTTTTTTGGAGATAGGGCCTTTAGAGGGGTGGTTAAGATTAAATGAGGTTGTAGGGGTGGGGGCCTTAATCTGATAGGATTGGTGGTTTATAAGCAAAGGAAGGAGATCTCTTTCTGCTTGTGCACAAAGAAGAGGCCATGTGAGCACAGAGGAGGACCATCTAAAGCCAGGAAGAGGATCCTCTCCAGGAATCAAATAGTCCAGAACCTTGATCTTGGGCTTTCTAGCTTCTAAAACTGTGAGAAAATAAATTTGTGTTGTGCAAGCCACCCAGTGTATGGCTTTTTGTTATGGCAGCCTGAGAAGACTAAGACAGGTTGAGATCAGACTAGGACCTCAGCTTTATTAAGGAAACTCTCTGTGGTGCAAGAGAATATTAACAAGGTTTTTGTTTTTGTTGTTTTCTTGGTGTTTTGATTGTTTTTTTTTTTTTCACAGAACACAAAACACCTTTATTACATGGACTAAGCTAGGAGGGATGATGATGATTTATATGCCTTTACGGGCCTTGATTTTCCTCAGATAGAACTCCAGCTCCTTGCCCTCTAGCACATAGCCATCTGCTTGGCCACACTGGCCTGGTCTTGAAGCGATGCAAGCAAGAAGCTTGCCCTGCTGGAATTGCTCCTCTAGAAGACTGCTGATTTTGGCATTCTTTTTCCTTTCATCGTATTTCTTCTGAATTTTCTTTGATCGCTTTTTGTTTAAAATCTCTTCTTCCTCAGGAGTCAGCTTGGCCCCCTTCTTGCGGCCTAGGGGCAGTGCATAGTGGGACTCGTACCACTGTCGGTACGGTGTGCTGTCAATGAGCACGATGCAGTTCTTTACTAGGG